CGGGATTAGATCAAGTGGAAGAAGAGTTCTCTGTGTGGAAAAGGAACACTCCATTTCTCTACGATCTTATAATCTCTCACCCACTCGAATGGCCATCTCTCACTCTCCATTGGGTTCCTTCGAAACCGATTCCGTACTCTAAAGATCCTTACTTCGCCGTCCATAAGCTTATCCTTGGGACCCATACCTCCGGTGGTGCTCCGGATTTTCTAATGGTCGCCGATGTAGTTATCCCGACACCTGACGCTGAACCAGGATTAGGAGCGAAGGATCAAGATCCTATCGTCCCGAAGGTAATTGAATTCTGGATGCTCTCTCTCTCAATATTTTTGCTGTTGCCTATGTGTTGTGTTCTGCGCACACCATGTGTTCGACGAAAGTACTAGGTGAAGAATGAGAAGGACATCATTTAACTTGCTTGAGTATTTCGAGTTTTTCAAAAGCTTGGTCTTGTTTAAGGGAAATGCTATCGATGAGATTTCATGAATTCAGCTTTGATATGTAATTCGGATCTTTGCTTGGTCTGAGTTTCTTAAAAAAAACTATCTTTTGCAGGTGGAGATTAGGCAGAAGATACGTGTTGATGGAGAAGTGAACAGAGCGAGGTGTATGCCACAAAAGCCGACTCTTGTTGGTGCAAAGACAAGTGGATCTGAGGTGTTTCTGTTTGATTACGCCAGACACTCTGCAAAGCCTCAAACAAGTGAATGTGATCCTGATCTGAGGCTAATGGGACATGAGCAAGAAGGTTATGGATTGGCTTGGAGTTCTTTCAAGGAGGGTTATCTTTTGAGTGGCTCACAAGATCAGAAAATCTGCCTTTGGGATGTTTCAGCTACTGCAAATGACAATGTTTTGAATGCAATGCATGTGTATGAGGTACGTTGAGAGTTGCGTTGTTTTTCCTTTTTCCTGGATCTCAGAAGATTTGGTCTTGTTGCATCTGATTTTATTCCTGAGATATTGTTTTAGGGACATGAAAGCGTCATAGAAGATGTAGCATGGCACATGAAGAATGAGAACATATTTGGGTCTGCGGGTGATGATTGTCGACTGGTGATTTGGGACTTGAGGACTAACCAAATGCAACACCAAGTCAAAGTTCACGAGAGAGAGGTATAACCATCTTTTAACATTCTGATTCCCTTTTATGTCTAATCTGCAAATTAGAGGATAACTACTATATGACTGAGGTTTGATTGCGCAGGAATCTAATCTCTTTATAATACATAATTCGAAGTTATGAGCGGAGAATTTCTCAATCCAACATGTCAGCTTTGCGTTAACCCTTAAAAAGCTGTAGTTGACATTCTTCATGACCATTCTACACTATCTTGTGTGTTTGCAGATAAACTATCTTTCATTCAATCCGTTTAATGAATGGGTGTTAGCCACAGCTTCTTCAGACTCGACTGTCGCCTTGTTTGACCTCCGAAAGCTGACTGCGCCATTACATGTCCTGAGCAGACACGAGTATGCCTCTCTCATAGTTTCTCAACTTCTTCACAGTTTCTATATTGTTAGCTTCTTCTATCTAAAGTCATCCGATCAAATGCTGATAACTGAGGATTGGGAGGGATTTGAAACAGGGGNGAAGTTTTCCAAGTGGAGTGGGATCCCAACCATGAGACAGTGCTTGCATCTTCTGGCGAGGACAGAAGACTCATGGTCTGGGATATCAACAGGTACGGTATCGATAATTCCATTTGCTTTTTGATTCAAAATCGAAGTTGGATTAGTTAGTTAGTTACAACTTGATGGATCGTTCAGGGTCGGGGATGAGCAGCTTGAGATAGAGTTGGATGAAGAAGACGGTCCACCTGAACTGCTCTTTTCTCATGGAGGCCACAAGGCAAAGATATCAGACTTTGCTTGGAACAAAGACGAGCCTTGGGTCATCTCAAGTGTAGCTGAAGACAACAGTCTTCAAGTCTGGCAAATGGCGGAAAGTATCTACCTCT